AGCCATATAATTCAGATTATATGGCATCGATGGTCCCTGATTGTACAGTTGGTTCTCCGACTACCTTCATTCTAGATATCAGAGGGTGCACATAGAAGGTTCCTTCTCCAATTGGGTCAATGTGTCATCTGGTGTCCCTCAGGGGAGTCTAATGGGCCCATTCTTGTTCGTTATCTTCATCAACGACCCACCAAAGACTCTCAATGATGGAACAGCAATTGCTCTGTTTGCTGATGATGCCAAATGTTACAGATCAGTTAATGACTCTTAGTGTTTGTACTAATTTTCAACATGATATTAACAAGCTTCATGACTGGTCCCTTACGGGGGCTTAGCTTACAATCTAGATAAATGTGTAGGTATGAGAATAACTAGAAAACGTAATAGCTCTATACCGTCTCTTGCTGACAGTCCTCATGAAGGGTAGTCTGGAAAAGCAGGAATCCGGAATTCCGCCAGAATATTTCAACGTCTGTTTTTTTAATTCAAAACGACTCCGATGATTTTCTGAAGAGTGTACGAGCTCCGAATATACTCCGATGATTAACCGAAAACTATCCGAGGGCCTCCAAAGTTACCCGGAGATCCTCGAGGAACAATCGAACCCCCGGCTTCATTTGTTTCTTGAGTATGGTAGTCTGGAAAAGCCGGAATCCGGAATTCCGCCGGAATATTTCAACGTCTGTTTTTTTAATTCAAAACGACTCCGATGATTTCCTGAAGAGTGTACGAGCTCCGAATATACTCCGATCATTAACCGAAAACTATCTGAGGGTCTCCGAAGTTACCCGGAGATCCTCAAGGAACAATCGAACCCCCGGCTTCATTTGTTTTTTATCGACTTTTTTTATTTTATCTTTTGTTTATTTTTAATTATTAACTTATCTATTTTTTAACGGCCGTGAAACTAAATTATAAACAGCAAATAATTCGTCAAATTATAGGTTAACATGGTCAGCGTTCCTTTAATCGATCTCGATTATTCATTAAAAGGGTACAAAGAAAATATAGCAGTGCCTTAGTCCGTCTGCCATTTACACAATTTCAATTCCGGGAAAGCACTGCTTAACGAAAGCGATAAGCTCTTCCGTTAGAGACAGGCCTCCCTCATTCCTCCGCAACAAACCTTGCAGGTTTTCCAGCTTACCTTTCTGAAGAGCGTACGAGCTCTGAATATACTCGAAGATTAACCAAAGATTATCTGAAGGTTTTCGAAGTTACCCAAAGATCCCTGAATTTTTCAAGGCCTGTTTTTAATTTAAAAGAACTCCGAAGATTTTCCGAGTGGTTTACGAGCTGTGCATATACTCCGAAGTTACTCGAGGATCCGGCCTGAGGAACAATCGAACCCCCATGAACTTGGTCGAACACCTATGAGGAATTAAGAAAACGCTGAAGAATCTATTTTTATGTTAGTTACACGGAATTTTTGTTGGTGAATTTTGTCTTAGCCAAATGAAAAGTGCACGGATATTGGGTAAATTCAAATCAGTTTGTTTCCGGTTGGACAGTTAACCACCCTGATATCCCACTCATTTTTCCTCGTCCGAAGAACAAAGAAAGATCGAAAACGCAGGCCTTGTGAAGACTTGACATGCAGTAAAATACGCTAGTGACGCCATTGTCTAAAAATTGATCGCGAAACTATTTTTTTTTTAGTTAAACTTGAGTTAATAACTTGAATTATGAATAAAAATATAAGATCTACAGCCACAGCATCAGACTTTTGCCCTGACCAGCAAGGTGTCTCACGTGGCCACAGCAATGGGAGGGGCTGGCCAAAATCATCCTTTTGGATACCCAGGGCCGTTACCACAGTCATTTACGACATCTATGTTTAGCCAAACGCTGTCGCCGGCGATGTCTTCTACGCAGCAGCATTCGTTTAGCGGTATGCGTCCACTCCAACCATCCGTGCCCCATGGTTTTCCTTTACTGCCGAAACCCATCATTCCTGAATCTTCTAATCCTTTCTTTTAAATGAAGCTAAAAGGAAACATCTCAAAATGTAACGGACGTCAAGGAAGCTTTCAAAAAGACTCTCAACCTGTTGATAGCATGGCAGTCATTGGACGTTTAGAGCTGGACTGGTATCCAAATCTGTACTTAGATGGCACAAAATGTTGGAAGTTAGGAAGAGCACAAAGAAGATAATACCATATTAACACAGCATGTCTGTGCACACGTCGTCCCTGTTTCCATACAGGCCACTTGCAAGGTCTGTTGAGAACTGAGGGAGGCCTGTCTCTAACGTAAGAGATCCTCAAGAAACAAATGAAGCCGTGGGTTCGATTGTTCCTCGAGGATCTCCGGGTAACTTCGGAGACCCTCGAATAGTTTTCGGTTAATCATCGGAGTATATTCGGAGCTCGTACACTCTTCAGAAAATAATCGGAGTCGTTTTGAATTAAAAAAACAGACGTTGAAATATTCCGGCGGAATTCCGGATTCCGGCTTTTCCAGACTACCGGAGAACATGCCCTCGCGGTCGTTTCCTCACAAAAGGATCTCGGAGTTATCGTCACAGACAAACTTACATGGAACTCTCACATTGAATGCGTAGTAGCCAAAGCCAATCGGATGTTGGGTTTTCTCCGTCGGAACTGTGCTGACATTGGGACTGATAGCAAGAGAATGCTACATCTTTCTTTTGTGCGTTCCCACTAATTAGGCTAAGCTAGCGAGGTCTGGGCCCCTCAATCTACTGTCCATCATTTACGTATTCTAGAGGGTGTTCAACGTCGGGCAACTCGTTTCATTTTGAACTGTAGTTATAAGGTATCGGAAAGACTTGACTATAAGTCACGCTTAAAAATGCTAAAACTGTTACCATTATGTTATTGGCACGAACTTCGAGACATCTACTTCTTCCACAAGTGTATGCATAAGTACAACAATATTAATGTCAATGAATAGGAATGCCAACAACTTTAATTTGCGACCAAATCGTGTTCGTACTTCCTTATTTCGTGATTCATTTTTTAATCGCATTGTTTCCTTATGGAACAATATTCCGTTAGATATTCGTGAAACTATAGCTCTTTCTACCTTTAAAGACTGTCTATTCAACTATTTCTTTAACACATTTATCGTTGTTTTTGTTTACATATGTCTTAGTATAGTATATACTTATGGGGCTGACCTCGCTGGTACTTCGAGTCCGTACGCTAGTCTCTCATTTAGTACCTTTTTTATTCTTTTTATCATTCTTCTTTGTCACTAAATGAAAGTTTAAAAAATAAAATTAAAAAAAATAAAAATGATGTAATCATTGTAGTCATACAGGTCTAATTACAGAACTGTAAACAAATGTCCTTCAATCTTTTCTCAGTCTTTGTTGGTAACAAATTGTTAGAATAGTTACCCAATAAGAACTTTAAAATCCTCTTTAAGTTTGTTACCATAATCTAAAAATGCAACATGGCATATGGAATTTAAATCACAGTTGTACAAACAAAATTTCTTACTCAACTTCTCTCTATGCATGTACACTTCAAGGACGCTAATGCTTTGATTAGAATGCTGATAGAAATAAAATTTCCACAATAATGTTTCCTTAAGCAGTTCTTATCTTAAATATTAAATCACTGTTATTGGACAGGAACACAGTTACACAGGCACTCCATTGAAAAGTGACGAGATCTGCAGATGGATGAGGTTAAACCTTGGCCTCGCAGTTGGCGCCAACTTCCAACAGCCTTGCATAATTTCATACATTTCTTTGGGGCACTCTTTTGGACAAGGAAGAATGTCTCCGCCATTTACCAAAGAAATAACTTCATCATCATTCATCCCATAGTATGGTGTTAAACCACTGGAGTAAATCTCCCATAACACAACACCAAATGACCAGATGTCAGTATCCTCTTCAAATACACCATACTGGAGTGTTTCAGGGGGGAGCCACCTCACAGGGTACCCAGCTCGTTCTGTTGATCCCAAGGAGAAGTAATCACTATTTGGACCTTTCCAAGAGAAACCAAGGTTTGAGATCTTGACCACCATTCCTTTGCCCATGATGCAGTTCTTGGTGCACAATTCTCTGTGGACATAACCCTTATCTGCTAAGTATTCCATACCATTTGCTATTTGCTTGGCAATGGATATCTGATCTATATTTGACAGCTTTGGTTTGGCGTTTTGTAAATCAGTACGTCGATGGATTGAACAATGACCCCGGCCTGATTCAACAAGAAACTGCTGCAGGCATTCATCATGCTCTGAAAACTCAAACACAAGACACAGAGGTGGGCTGTCCACACAGACCCCATACAAACTTTGCACAAATGGGTGGCTAAATGTGGTCAGGGCAATAGCATCTTTCTCAAAGTTCTTTCTATCATCTTCCAAAGAGTATTTTTCTTTGAGCAATTTCACCATAAAGAGTGGACCTTTTCTTTCCTGATCATTTTCCACTTTGGTATCATTCACACTGGCAAGAAAGAGGCTTGAGAAATTTCCTGTAAAATAATGAAAAATGCTAATTAAAAAAAAACAAAAAAACAAAAAAAAAAAAAATCAAAATAAACAACTGCATTACTAGAGGGTGTTCCACTGATATAAAAGCAAATTCTTTCCGGTTGTTTTCAAAGCAATGCATATCAGCTACATGTAGAAGTGAAAATTATCCATAAGTTCAATGGAGTGAAAGAGTTGACGACATTTTAATCAACTCACCATTTCCATGTCCCAGTTCTTTGATGAATTCCATCCCATTTCTTGATACCTGCCAACTCAATAGCTGTGGATTGACATAATAATTTGTGTGCTGCTCATATATTGGATTATTTTGTAAGTTCTCCAGATCAACAGGTGTAGGCAAGTTTTTCTTTTTCAAATTGTGGCGGCGATACATGACAAGGATGCCACACAGGATGAACAAGACAGCTAACACAACAAATGCCATAACCAGAATAATGGTCAAGCGACCGGAAACTCCTGATGATCCAGCAGCCTCCACAACTGCCTCAACTACAAAATAAAATTATAATAAAAATTAAACACATTTAGTTTAACTCTGGATCAAACCAGGTAATTTTTTACATTATTTTACCTTAAATTTCAAATTCAAAAGTGAGTCTTAAGAAATATGGGTTTTCAATGATTGGCAGATAAAGCCTCAGACAGTCATATAACTTGAACAATTTTTCTCAACACATTTAGGATCGATGACTGAAATTTGGACTACCTTTGACTAGTAAATTAAATACATGTTCATTAGTCTAGACCTTAAACTTAACTAGTACCCTGGTACCCCTAAAAATCAAGATTTGGGAAATGAAAAAAATTGGTACCTTTAGCAGCTGTAATGTAGGCTTTCTTTGAGTCAATGTTGTAAATATTCTGTGCCTCACATTGTATAGCTGTCCTATCTTTAGTAACTGTTAGAGTGAACAGAGATACCCCATTTTCATCTTCTGGTAAGTCCTCATAATATTTACCCTCTGTCAGCCATCTAAACAAAAAAGCAGACCATAATACACCTAAGAATGGCAACAAATTAAGACCATTTAGCTGGGATTTTTGCTCACATGTACATATTTTAATTACAGAATCATTTGAATAATAATTATCGGAACTCAATAGATGTACTGTAATAATTTACAAATGTACATTAAAAGATGTCAATGATGATGATTGAGAAAATTTTGGGAACATTGCTTGCCATACACAGGTAGCTCACCAAAAAAACATGCTATCTACTATGTATTCTTAGTGCACTTCCATCACAAAACTGTACCTGATCTTGGGTTTAGGATTTCCTTCTGCAGCACATTTTAATGTCACATCAGCTCCCAGCTCTGCTGTCAAGTTGGCTGGCACTTTAGTTATCACTGGCGAAGACCAGCTGGGTTCAGATATTGTTGAGTCATCAATTGTCACAAAAGTACCGGTAAGTATCTTACGAGCTAACAAATTAAGGAACGTTAAAATAATAATTGTAAGTGACAATTTACAAGAGTTTTAAAGGTTGATTTCATTAAGCACTAACACTTTTATTTGTGAATAGCATCTCACTAGCATCCTCTCTTGAGGAATAACGATACCCCCCCTGTGACAACATCAAAACTGGAATAAGCTCAGCTAGAAATGAAGCACAACATCAGAAAGAACAAGCCAAACCTCACATTAATTTCTCACCTGTTACAGCAATATTGTTAGCTTTCCAGTCCGTTCCAAAATGATTGCTTGCTGTACAGTTCACAAGTGCATTTTTGTCTGCTTTGAATTGCAACTGAGAAGTGAAGTTCTTTTGGATGGACATTGCTGTCTTGTCCTCTCCATTGACTTTCCAACTGTAATTAAAAAAAGAAAAAGAGACAAAAAAAACAAACTGAAATATAAATGAAACAAAATGTAACTAAAAACAATGGGCCAGTATCCAAGTGGCCAACACTGATGGAGCTTATTAATGCATCTCTCACTAATTAAAATATGTTTCTCCTTAGTAACATTGTAACTGCAAATTTCAATACATCATGTTCTATAAATGATTTGAAGTCATACTAGATATTAGGAATGGGATCTCCATAAGCTTGGCACTTCATAACAACAGTATCACCAGCAGAGACATTCATGGCAGGGGGGCCCTCCTTTATGTTGGCTGCTTCTAAAAAATCAGACAAAAAAAGTAATAAACTTTTCATATACAAATACACTAATATTTAATTTTGGCCATTGATTCATTTGACATCTTTTCCTCAAAGTTGGGAAAATAGTATTCTTCATTAATTTATCCTAAGATGCCAAGCCCTGGAGAGTCAAAGAATACAAATGACTTCGTTCGCTGAGAACAAGAAGGCAACCAATACTGAGACTGAGTGATTGCTAGAGAAAATTTTGGAACAAAGTTTTCATTCTACGGTCAGAGAAAACAGAAAAAGACTCATCAGTCTTCCAATTTAAAACCTCAAAAATGAAAGAACCCTGTAGAACATGTACCTTTGACAAGAAGGCTTCCAGAGGAGGAGATAGTTTTCTCCATATCAGCGTCCTTAGCTGTGCAGCTGTACTCTCCTGCATCATATTCTGACACTCTAGTCAACAATAGAGTTGATCTCTTTTTGATAATATTGTTTCGGATCATAGTAAAGTTTGACTTATTCCCAATCAAGTTCTTTCCATCTTTCCTCCATGAAATAACAATATTTAGACTTCCATTTTTCACCTGGCAAGTAAATTTAACCTGTTGCCCAACAGCTGTGAAAGTGGTATCCTTCAACATTCTTTTAAAACTCATTGATTTTATGGGACTTGATGCTTCCATGACAAATGAGGCCCTGAATCCACGATAATTCAAAGATCTGTCAGACTTGAATGTGATATACATATAACTTGTTGGTGTTTCCACTTTAAATGGATTTTTATTTCCACAATACTTTCCTATAAGTGTGGCAGAACTGTTCTTCCCTTCATAAATTTTAACATTATCATTACCACAATCATAACCTTCTTCTAGCACAAAATCGAAAAACTGTAATTTGATTTTATATCCCAGTGGCGCCTTTATCAACCAGGAGCATTTTGAAAGACTTGGATATGGATCTGGGTAATCTGGAGATTTTAAGTCTCCAGCACTTTCTCTAAAGATTTTGTGATCACAGTTTCCACCTGCAACAGAGAGGAAATTAAAAATTAGCCCCCATTTAAACCTTTTCACTCCCAGAGTGTCAATATTACCTCTCCTTACTGTCTGCCTCACATTTCTTATAAATTTATAATTTATAATTTTAATAATTTATAATTTCTTATAATTTCTAAATTAAAACATATCTTCTAGCTCATCACCTCTCTGCTTGAAAAGATGTTGGCATTTCAAAGAGAAATTACACACTGGTTATTCGCTTAAGGGAAAGAAGAGAGACCCAGGAAGCCATATATACCCTCTCCACTTACCCCTTAAGCTATTGAGACAGGTGAAGGACCACTGAAAGAGATCACATCTAGAATGATATAGGAATAACTTTCGCAAATTTTTTTTTCTCATAAGATTAACATTTTTCAAAAAATATTAATAAGGGGATATGTTCTATCACGTAACATCAAACATTTGCTACAAAACTTAACAACTAGACATAACCAGGGTTTTCCTTTTCAAACAAAGTTGAAGTCGATGAAAGGGAAGCAGGCAGAGACAATTTGGGTGCATGAGTGCCAAAGGTGCAAACAACTAGGGGGGTCCGGGGGCATACCCCCCAGGAAATTTTGAAAATTTCAGTGCTGCGAGATGCATTCTGGTGCATTTTGGGTGCTTAAAAAAATATATTGTTGTACCAACTGGTACAAGTAAAAATTCTTCTTCATTTGTTGCTGAAATATGTACTTTTCATTGATTTTCGTTTCTTATACGTCATTGTCAGACAACATAAAATGCATTTATTATTTAACTAAAATATTTTAAATTATATAACAGCAAGGACTCTTTTAGTTGCCGGCAGCGGAGCCATTAACAGGCGGCGAAAATTGCCGGTCCCCGGCCGAAAAGGAAAACCCTAGACATAACCCTACCATCACCAAAGATGTATGATTACCTTCCATTAGATCAATGAATAATTATACTCATACATTTTATTAAAATGAGTAACATGTTAATACTGGACTGAAATGTCATGTTTGAGATTAACTCAAAAATAATGTAAATTAATGCAATATATTGATGTACATATCACTACTCTGCAATGTCTGCCATGTATTTCTTGTAATTTTAGATCTGAAAATTTGGTGTTCAATCAGAAAATATTAATCAACAGCTGTTGCTTTTTCCATCTTTTCATAACCCTTCCCTTGAAAATGAATTGATATCACTCTTTGCTCTCTCTTGGGGATAAAAGGTTTAACAAAAGGGCATAATTATTTTTAAGCCCTGAGAAATCTAAGTTACCGGTACATCACTGTGCTGTCAGTAGTACACAAGAAGGAAGGGTTGCGCCTTAGCACTATAATTGAAGCCACAACCTTTATTCATCCTTAGTCCTGCCCAAAGATTAAATCAAAATATCTTGGCCATACATGGTATGTTTAAATCAACGAAAACTCTCTATCTCTATCTTTTTTTTTCCTGAATTGCACATATTATTAATTTTCTCTTTCTTAAAAATTTTAAGACATGCCTCCAACAACATTTTTCTTGTCTCGAATTACACGATCCTTAAGATAAAAATCTGTTCTCATACTCTTTGGTTGGTGTTCAACAAATTTCTTCTCCCTTATAATTAAACATCAAGTAGGCAGTTTGAAGTTGTCTTGCAGTGGTGCAGCGATAATATTCCAAAAAGAAATTTATCATATTCTGTGTAACACAAAAGAACTCCTCCTTAATATGTTATTATGCGTGTGCTCTTTCATGTCAATACTAACAATAAGACACCATAATAATGCAGTATTATCACTACAATTAAAAATGTGCACTTTAGTATCTGAGGGTAACTCAAGCATCATAATTTTAATTAGCCCCCCATATGATATTACTGTACAAGACTCTGGAATCTCCATTAGGAAAAAAAATTCCCACAATGTTAAGGACAAAATGTTTCTTTTAAAGTCTTCTTGAGGGAATTTTCATGAGTAAATATCAGCATTCTACCTTTGGTAAGTGTGGGACAAGGATTAACCAAGCTTAAAAGGATAGGCAACTGAAACCTCTCTCCAGATGGCAACAAAAGATATTGTCTTGCGATAAAATAGATTAGAGGCCTTTTGTAAGGCTGGACCAGTTTCCAAGATTAATTTTGTCAGATTCAAAGCATGGCAAGTTCCTTCACATTTATCAAATCAAACTTTCAGCCCCATTGCTGCTCAGATGGAAAATTACACTTAATTACCAAGATAAACAAGCTTTAAGGTCTTCTAGTCTTCGCCCGTTAACACTTCGATTGAAGTGATCAGATGGGATTCGTTCAAACCTCTTCCAAACTGAGAAATTTGAGTAATCTGTTGGACTTCCTTCAATCTGTAGGACTTCCCTTGCATTCAAATATTTACAAAGAAATATAGATTCCATTCTTTCACTTGAATGGTTTTTTCCAAAAAACACTTATTTCTGCACCATACATATGTCACAACAACATCAAACGTTCTCTGTGTGCAATAACTAATAATAAGACTGAATAATACCAATTCTTACCAAGCGCGATTTCACAATTCTTTTTTCATGGAAAGTGGAATAAAATTTGCAACTTCGACAGTCATGAATATGTAAGTACCCTTAGCATGAATTTAATGATGGGGGTATATGAAGGTTTCGGCAATAGGGAGTTGGGGCCATCTTTATCTATCTAAAACAAGTTGTTGCTCAAAGGGGAAAATAAAGGGAAATAACACTTTTGGAAATGTTCTCGAGTTCAAGTAATTATATCACACCCCTTCTGTCTGATATATTGCTCGTCTCACGCGATTTGAGGTTATTTATAGTAAGCAGAGATGCATCGCTTTTTGTCATTTAGAAGCATATCCTTTTGACTGAGCGATTCAAGATCCATAGGGAAAACTAGAGAAACAATTCTGAGGGTTTTAGCTCACTCTTTTTTAAGAAGAGAAATTTTAATTTTCAAGAGAGTTATATGTAACTATTTGTTTATCGCAATATTTGAACGTGTCATTCCTTTGCAGCATGCCGGGTTTAATAAGCTTATTTTTATTGAACTTCTCTTTACCCATCTAAAATTCATATGAACGTATCAGGTATCAATATAGCTGATAAAGGTCAAAATAGATTACCAGGAACGAAATCGTTGTTGTTCTAGAATACACATTAGCCAAGCTAAAAATGATGAAATGCAACGTAGCTAAGCAGAAAATGTACCTAGAAATTAACAACTCAGTAAAACTAAATCTTAACCAAACAATGTTTCTGAAAAAAGATTACCAATATCAGCACAGTGTTCCAGAGCAAATAATGCGCAAAGATTCTGTGTGGATAAAATATTCGCTTTATCGCCGCAGGAAACTCATTCAAAGTCTAGTCTTTCAGCACGCTTCAGAAATAAAGATTTTCAAAGAGATGCTGCCGAAACCCCGCGGCTATCTACAATGAAGGGTTTGAATAAATCACAGTTTGTCTTTATCGTTATTTTACCCTACACTATATTAAAACTAAACATAGTTGACTAACCTGTTAGAGAAACCAAGAAACCAATGAAGAAAAGAAAGACTGTATAATAAAACACACTGGTACGACCAAGACGAACACGGTCAGGAGCCATATAGGATCACCTTACAAATAGTTTGCGTTCAGGTCCAGTGAACAAATTTCCAAAGTTCTTTCAAGTCCTAAGATTGGAGTGCTCGCTTATGGAGCCAAGTTTGTAAAGAAACTTCAAAAGTTTGCAGAAAAGATAGTCTTCTGTTATCGTTGAACGTGAGGGGAACCGCCGACCTCAAAATCATACGTAAATGACACATACAACACCGATGTATAAGACAGCCGTCTACTCCCTTAAGGAACGGAAATGCCTTTTGCGCTACAGTGCTATGCGGTTCGTTACGCATTTCCTGTCAGCTGTCAAATTTCGTTTCTAACTTCGTTTCAGCGAAGAGTTATCGATCTGTTGTCTGACCAGCTGGACAATCAGCGGGATACAATCGAATGAGGGATCTTAGATATGTGGTGTAAGAGTCACATAATTATTGCCGTAACTTGTTCTCAGTCCACAAACAACCGAACCATTCAAAATGGCGGTTGACTGCGGAGGTTAGAATTGTCACTAGCAGAGTTCGACGTGAAAAAAAGGTGTCAATGTCTGCATGCAATGGTATGAAAGTCTGTTTGTCGTGTATTACTGCTTGAGAACTCGGGACCTCGGACAGAATACTTTTAAACGAATACATATGTACAAACTAACGTGCAGCATGCGCTTGATATGGGAATTGTGTGATTTATGTACTCAGTCTCTGTTCTTCTCCTTTTTCTTCCTTAGAGCAAGCACCCACGAAGTAATATCTTATTGAATGGAGAAGAGCGTGATGGCTCGTTACTGTTAACAGAACCATGTAGTTCTTTAGGGTGAGAATTTATGGAAATACCTTTATTTCTGACATACACAGTTAAAAAAAAACGTGTGCAAATAATGAATTGTATGGTCATCTGAAACTTTTTTTATTCTTTTTTTTTTTTCGCTGATTCAACATTTTAAGATTTATTGCAGTCTTATTTACTGTGGTTATGTTCACTGTCTAACCTGAATCAAGCAGTCACCCACAGGGAATAGCCAGGTGACTGCATAACAGGTCCACAGATTAGGGTTATTATAAAGAATAATACAAAATGCCACTTTATGCAATAATTGACAACTTAATGTACAGAATCTCGCTAAAAATACTACTTACTTTGATTTTAGGAAAGAAACATGGATTAAGAATTACTTGAAAAATTATTGTTAGTTTTATTTGAGTGGTTCTGCTTTAAGTAATCATTTAATTCAAGTGGAAGACAGTACAAAAAGGCAGTTGGGTCTCAGTTGAGGGTGAGCATGACTGTTTTATAGAGGTGCATGACCACTTAATAGAGGTGGAAATTACAGTAATTAAGAGACAACCCATACATACAGTCGTATATGAGCACGATCCTTCGCAGTAAAGCACTATTTGAGCAATAGTGAAAATCAGACCTGAAAAAAATTTCAGGCCTGTATGGGATTCGAACCACTGACCTCTGCGATACTAGTGCAGTGCTCTACCAATTGAGCTAACAAGCCAACTGGGAGCAGGCCATCAAATTAATTCGACATAAACCCGTAGATGATAAATCAAACAACAACAAACATATGAAACATATGTGTGAACTGCGGTTATGAGACGTATATGAGCACGATCCTTCGCAGTAAAGCACTATTTGAGCAATAGTGAAAATCAGACCTGAAAAAAATTTCAGGCCTGTACGGGATTCGAACCACTGACCTCTGCGATACTAGTGCAGCGCTGCACTAGTTTCGCAGAGGTCAGTGGTTCGAATCCCGTACAGGCCTGAAATTTTTTTCAGGTCTGATTTTCACTATTGCTCAAATAGTACTTTACTGCGAAGGATCGTGCTCATATACGTCTCATAACCGCAGTTCACACATATGTTTCATATGTTTGTTGTTGTTCCATACATACAGTGCTGCTTAATGTAGGTTGGACTGTATTACTTTCATTATTTCTTCAGCAGCTTAAGAACTTTTCAACAATCGTCACGGACAAAGCCACAAAGAAAGGGCAAAGAGACAATCTCCACTGCAACAAATTCAAAGGCAAGCAATGTGAAGAAGCAATGTCAATCTTGTCTGTCGAATATGGCAGTCGTGCATGCAGAATTTTTTTTCTCTTCTCACCAAGTGGTTCACATAGCAGAATTGCTTGTGTATACAAAAGATCCAACTGAGTTCTGCCATACTCTGCAGACTGGGTTCAGATCCTGTCAATAGCACACATAATTTTTTGTTATAAGCATGCCTGTGCCACTTTCTTTTGCATTATTTAAGAAAAGCCTCAAAGTGTTTTTCAAAATCTGATAATTTCTGTAATGAGGCAGTGTTTTCAAGAGTGGAGGTCTTCTCCATTGTTTCAATGAGATTTTGGGACATTCCCATGCAGTTGCTCTTTTACATGAATTCTGCAGTTCTCCTTCCAAACCCCAGCTCAACTCTTGCTTCTCCAAACTGTCTACTGGAGCAGATTATGGCTAAAGCCAAAAAATATGAACAATTTTGACTGTTTACTGTTTGTTATGACTGTAAGCCTTGCACACTAATAATAATAATAATCTAATAATATTTTAATATTTATATTACACAAATTACACATGTGGATATGATCAAATGCACATCACAACACTTTTCAGAGGACTTTGGCTGGACTGCATCAGCAGTTTACAAACAATCAAAGGAAACTTATTTGAAGATACCCCCAGCCTTCCCCCCCCCCAATTCCCAGTAAACGGGCCAGACCACATCACAGTAATCTCATGAGTCCCCCGCCTAACCAAATTAACTGATTGGTAGATGCAGGAGATGGGACCTAGAGTTTATTCGTCCTTATCCGAGAAGACTAGAATGTTTATCGATTTCTTGATATTATAGAAAGGGAGCGCATTCTCCTCAGTTATTTTAAGACCTTAAGTGTTGGTCTGGCCGGGGCTCGAACCATCGACCTCGACCTCCTGCACAACAGTCCAGCGCTCTAACCAGTTGAACTAACTGGGAGGCACACACTAAGAACTAGCCAAAAATTAAGTTACCACGTTGATTTTGGTTCCCCAATTTTATAGCTTGTCCTTGGCAAAGTAAACAGATCAGTTTTTCATTGAAAAAAAAAACAATCGATCCAATAACCTTGTTTTATACATTTGTTTTCAGAAGCGTAGCACATGGATTGCAAGTTCATTCAGCGACTTTGATGAAGGAAGGACAAAGAAAACCAAACAAGCAAACATCAACCATTCACTAGTAACAAGTAAAGTTTTAGTACCTTCCTCTGATCGACCATCATGCAGCTCTGATTAAAGTACCAATCTTTTTAAGCTAAATGTGTGAAATGCAGTAGAGAAATGAATAACTGAATACATAAAAAGGGAAATGAAAAGAGCTAATCACAGCAATACCATTATGGTCAGTAACAACTATTACTATGATGATATAGATTGCAGTACAACTGTAGTATGTGAAAAATCAGTTCTATCTGTCTGAAAATTCTAACTCAAGTCTTGACCCATTCTAAGGTGGAAGCAGCCAAGCCGCTCAACACAAATTAAGGAAAGATGAAGATCTTTGGCTTGAAAAATATAAACCAAAATCAGAGGTAATGTCTGAAATTTTTTTTACTGAATTTGAGTTGCATAAGTTATGTCTTTCCTTATTTTATATCAATTTGGTGAAATTTACTCTCAAAGTGTTGAATATTGATTTACATTTTATTTAGGTTGAACTGGCTGTCCACAAGAAAAAGGTGGCTGAAGTGCGTAACTGGTTCTTAGATCAATTATGTACACAGGTTAGTTAAGAGAGTGTGTTTTGACTGTATTTTAAACAGCCAATTAATATTAATTATTATGATATATCTTTGTGGTAGATTTTCCTATCAATTTGTTTGAAGCCATGTTCTTTTAATCACATACCTATGATCTTTGAAAACCAATCTTCAACTTATCCATCCAAGTTCGGTTATTTTGTTAAAAAAGGGAATAAATAAATTTGTAGATAAATAAATTTGAAAAAAATACACCATTTAGACTTGAGTCATTGTTTTGTTTCTTTTTATTATTATCATTATTATTGTTATTATAATAACTATTTTTATATATGTAGTGACAGCTAATTTCTAACAACATAAAATGTTTGTTTTCTCTAACTTCCTTTCTTTTGTTACAGAAAGGCATTGAAAATGTGATGGCATAATTATGAGCTTTTTGTTATACCTGTTTAATTTCCTCTCAGGTGGGACATGGTTCTATCTTACTCCTTACTGGTCCAACTGGAGCAGGCAAAACAGCAACAGTCAGTGTATTAGCTAGTGAGTTGGCATTTGAGGTTCAAGAATGGATCAATCCTCTTAGTGATACAGAAGGTAACTGGAAATGATAGTAAGAGTTACAGCAGTAAGGTACAGGTACCTGTAACCTTAATTTCCTGGTTCACTGATGAAAATAACTAAAGTGGGCTGATAAAACAATTGTTTAAATTATTTTCTTATTTTTAGATGCCTTTTTTTCTGTTTACTGGTATTTTAATTTTAATTTGGTGATGATGTCATGTATGGTGTTTAATGTGTATTTTGGGTTAAGATTTTTTTAAAGAGATCAAATAAGACAGAAGTTAGTTTTAAAAATGAGCACCATTCATGCCCACACTATCTAATATCTCATCAGATGAAGAGCACTATAACTGGAAAAGCCACAGTCAGTCCCAGGTGAAAGTTTTTCAAGACTTCATACTTCGTGCCAGCAAGTACTCCACCTTGTCAATATTTGGTGGGAAGGGAAATAATTCTGTCAAGAAGATTATCTTGGTAGAGGTAACTACATTATTAAAGACTTAAAACTTGCTTTCATCATACTCTCAGAGGCCTTTTTTTTATTAAAAAAATGTCTCTTAATTGTTGTACAAAATGAGCCTTGTGTTACCCATGATTTTCTCATACTTTAGGCGACACTGAATATCCTCTACTGGTGATTTCAGAAGTGGGCTCTCTGATCATAGTTGTAATGGTTATAACAATGATTAAAATAATTAGAACCAATTTTATATAATATTGGAGGACAATTATGCAAATTCACTTTTAAGTGTAGCTTTACTTGCTTATTTAAGTGATAGTGAAGGATTGATGGCTATCATTGAATCTAGTTATTTATTTTAAAATTATGTATTATATTTTAAATTACTTATTATGATAGCTATCTTCAATTTTTTTTGTAGGACCTTCCAAATATATTTTTCAGAGAGGCTTCAAAGCTTGCTGAGGTTTTGAGGTAGATAATGTCCATTTTGTTTGAATCTGGGAAATGTGACATTTTGAGATGGTTGACTTATAGTGAAACAATTTATTGTTAACTACTCTAACTCTCCCATTTGGCTTGTTAGCTCAGTTGGAAGAGCACTGCACTGTTATCGCAGAGGTCATGCGTTTGAATCCTGTACAGGCCTGATTTTTTTTTTCAGGCCTGATTTTCACTACTGCTTAAGTAGTGTCCATTACTGCAGTGAGGTCACTCTCATACTCATTTCTTTAACCACAGTTCACATATATGATTTTCATATATTCACAAACAGTGTAAAATTTTATCATGATCATATTTCTTACTGCTCAACAGCACATATAAACAAAAAGGGCAAGTTCCTATAGTATTCATCATCTCCGACAGCCATCATGGTGACTCAAATGTTCACAAATTACTTCCCAAAGATGTTCAGGAAAAACTGAAGATTCATAACATCAGGTAAAACTATGGTAATTAACTTTAAAGCTATTCAATGTTCATATATCTACACTTGCTAGTTTCATACTTAGTTGATTTCCTACTAAAGAGAAATTTGTCACTTTCAGCTTCAACCCAATTGCGCAGACCAGCTTAGTGAAAGCCTTGAACAGAATAATATCAACTGAAGCTCAACAGGTACTTGATATACAATTATGTCTTGATACAATTGTCTGCTTGATAGTGTAGTGATATTGTAAGGAGAACTTCTTTCGTGGTCACTAATAGGAGTTAAAGGGTTAATATTCCCTTTTTGCCCACTGTAATCCTCAGTTGATGCAAAGAGTCCAAAGATAAAAAAGGACAAAAAATGGCAAGAGTTGCTAATAGTCAAGAAGATTAAATTCATTTGTTAAGTTTCTACTTTTTTCACATATTAATTTATGTTCCCTTTCTAGCAGAATAAAACGGTATTTGAGATTCCAGATAAAGATACTATTCAGCTCTTGGCTCAGAACAGTGGAGGAGACATTCGTACAGCCATCAATGGTCTCCAGTTCTCCTCTTTAAAAGGTGAGTTTGTTGTGATCAATGGAGAGGTTTTCAGAGATTTTCCCTGTTTCACAGTAAGAATATTAGTAATTACTGTCAGTAGATAATTTTGAAGTTCTTAAAATTTCTATTTATAGATCACATTTCTTTTTCCACAGAAAGATAACATAAGTGGTGTTAATCTATAAATTTTTTTTTCATCTTATAACCTTTGACCTGAAATTAAATATTCACAGATAAATCACACCCAACTCAAAAGGGGCTTAATGTGACAAAGAAAGATGACAGAAAACCAAATAAGTCAAAATTAAAGAAAACAAGTAGTTCACTGTCCAAAAAGGTGAAGACTTCAGAATCAGCTGAGCTATCCTCTAAGTGTCTTCTCTATGGAAAAGAGACAGAAGATAACCTTGAATCAGAAGTAGTCACAGCTATTGGTGGAAGAGACTCAGCTTTGTTTCTGTTCAGAGCAATGGGAAAAATACTATATTGTAAAAGTGAGTAACTTATGTTGCCTTGAAATTTCAGCCTCAGGTGGAAGATGTAAGGGGGGGGAGGGAGGGAAATACCCCCTGCCCCTCCCACCCCCTTCTGTACCTGACAGACAGCATGTAAAAACTGTGATATTCATAATAAAACATGTTTCATTTTTGTGACAATTTTAACTTTGGTTCAGGAAGTGTATAAAAAGACACAGAATGTTAGCTTTTTTTTTCTTTTTTTCTTTTTTTCCGTAAAGGAGATCCAACACTTTCTGACTCAGACTTACTTCCATCTCACATGGCACATTATGCCAGACACCAGCTGTTGTTCTGTCCAGAGGTATTAAAAATGATTTTCATTCATTCATTTTTGTTTTTGTTACCCTGTTCCTTTCCATAGACCATGAGTTAATATTAGAGAGATTTAGCACTGCATTTACATGAAACATGAATGGGAAGAGTGACCACATGACCTTGTTTTTTCTGCCATTTTTGCATGTTTGCTGGTTTCACTTTGCGTTTTCTACCCGAAAGTAACCTGTTTTGCATTTGCCATGTATGTAAGATTTTCTTCACTTTTTTCTCTCACAAAGTAGAAGTTAATTGCTGGAAAAAAGGGCACTAAAACTATTCATTGCGAGTCCTACAAGGGTGCCTTCAAATCCACCATTATTATTATTATTATTATTATTATTATTATTATTATTATTATTATTATTATTAGCTCATACCAAGCTAAAGCAGCAAGGTTCTTGCTATTTTATGTGAAATGCAAAATTACATTTGTTATGAATAAGCCCAGTGTAAACAAACGATAACAATTTTTATATTCTTATCCAGGGTAGTAAAAGGCCCATTTTCTTTTTTACGCAGGCAGTGTTGGAGAAAACACACCTCTCAAGTGAATTTTTCAATTTATACCTTCATCAGAATTATTTGGATTTTTTTGCTGATATTGATGATGTGGTAGGTAAAGACTGCTCCCATGAATATGGCCAGCTCCAAAATCATTAACTGCTGCTTCATCTGTGGCTTCTATGACTATTGTGTAACATTATATTCAGTAGTTGCTTAATCTCAGAATTCCATTTAACCTGCCCAGTGTAACAAAACAGTGTATAAACATGATTTGAATTTTAAATTGATCCAAAAGAATGTTATTAAAGTGATTATTTTAATGGTCATTTGCTGGAAAGACCAAGTGTTAAAACTAAGAAAACATTGGGTGACAGAGCTTTCCTGGTAGCTGCTCCTTTCCTATGGAATAAGCTGCCAAGGTCCACGCATGAAGCAACAAACTTAGAATCTTTTAAGATTTTACTTGACATTTTTATTTAAGAAATCATTTCAGTTATCTTAGTATATCTATATTTTTATTTGTAATTATCTTTCATTAGTTTAATGTAAATAAATATATATAACTTATGATTTTTATAGAAAGAATTGTATAATTTTAGTTATTAATTACTGTTGTGATGCGCTTTTGAATATTTTATAGAAAAGGCGCAATACAAATAATAAATCTTATTGTTATTATTTTAATTTCTCTTTTTCCACACACCATGGTAACTTTGACAGTCTTTCTGTCTATGATTGTCAGGTGAATGTTAGTGAACACTTCAGCGAAGCAGACTACTTGACTAAAGAATGGATGGTAAAGTTTTCTCAGTTTATTAACATCTGTTGATACCCAGCATGACCTGAAAAACATTCATTAGTTGATTATCAGTAGCTTCCTTCAAGTTGCAGAGGGCCATTGCAGTTATTTATTTGTCCAATTAACTGTATTCACAAAGGAGCTTTGTCATTATAACACAGTTTCAGTCCTCCATGAGGGAGTACAGCTCATCTCTGGCAGCAAGAGGGTTAATATTTAACAGCAGATTAGGGGGGACCTCATCAAGCTCCAGTGGGCCTGGGAGAGGATGGAGACCACTTCATAAACCACAGTTGTTTGAGGTCAACAAGAAGGTAAATTATTCCAGGATACAAATAGAGGGTTCATATTGCTACTTAGAATGATTTAAGAGCCTGAGGACAGTGTAAATATTTAGTTAAAAAACATACTAGCAATATCACAGTTATGTCTCACTCCACAATGATTGGTTTAATTTAAAATTGTGATGATTCACAGTCACAGAATTAAGATTGAGAGAAAGATAATTTTCACAGTAATAATGATTGTACTCAACGAATAATTTTTTACATCAAATTCAAATATAATGATAGTACTGTTAAATTGAATTAATTTCAGATGCGTGAAGGTATTAACACTGCACGAGATCTGTTTAAAGGTGAGGCTTATCACTCAATCATTTTTCTATGGCCACTGAATGACCTAGCCAATGGAAAGTTGTTAACAGACAAGTAAGAGATATTTTTGATAAGGGAAGAGTAAATACTCAAGGACTAAGGTGTAGAAGATTTCTCACCCAAAGTCAATAATTATCTTCTTTGGTTCAACTTCTTAATTAACAATGACGATCCTGTTGACTTCCTAAGATTACTACTGTCCATCACTAGTTCTGCAAACGGAGGTTCTTCCATACTTGGCCATTACTGATGTTCCCCTGAGAACACCAGGTTAGTTACCATTCTTAGTATATTGTTCCTCTATTGGTGTTGCTCTTTTTATATTAATTTTATATCTTCATTCATTTTTCGTGTTCCATCTTCTTCTGAGGAACCTTAAAGCTAACCTGAATTCTGTTTAAGATCCATTCACTCTTAGTTAACTGAATTATTACTCTCTCTTGTGTTTAGGACAAATTTCCTTTTTGCAAGCTATCAGCAATTTCAGAAAATCCAAGCACTCATTCAGGTAATGTCCAAGAATTAACTGTCTAGCAACAAGCAGGGCAAATTATATGGTTTTGATACTAATTTTGGAATGAAGTTTTATAATCCTGTTGTCTCAGATGCCAACTTTACCATTTTAAATATGAAATAATTGTGTTTTATTTTTTTCTAGAGGAAACACAGATACACTTGAAGAAAAAGATTGTGGTATGAGTAGTGATAATGATGACGACATTCTTGCTAGTTCCCAACCAAGAGGGAATACAATCCAGGGAGCTAACAAGTGCCTGGTCATGGGTGAAGAGTGTGATTCACAAGGAACCTCTCAGATGCTTCAGGATGATGATAATGCAATAGAGGATTTTGATGATGAAGACTGAGGTGCAAAACAGTACTTGTAACCCGTTCCATTTGGGAGTCATACAGGGTGGTTCAATTGATCGTGTTGCAGTGCCCTTATCAAGGCTGTCATCATTTGTACAAAAGTAGGGGCTACGGTCATGATTCTAGTAGACCCACTCTTTATAGGGGTTGGTTTAAAGTAAAGTTTCATTGACTAATTCTACAAAACTTGTGTTCTAAATGCTGGTAATTTTAAATCACCAGAAGTAAGACCTGGGTCTTAAAGAACATTGTAAATTGTGTATAAAACCATGAAAACAGATTACCAGTCAATAGTTTTGTTAAATAATTCCATGTTTAGAAGCTATTTATTCAGAGATTACAACTGACATTTGGCTCAGTGCAGCAGTGACTTCCTAAACTCCCTGCTGTATAGCTCAACTTATAGTGTTCTATAAAGTCCACAGGAGGATAGGAAAGCATAATTTTGTAAAGTTATACAGATGGCAGAGAAAATCAAAAGATCCGTAACTAAACTGCAATTTATTAAATAATGTAACAAAATAACTTCCATTTTGTAATAAGTTGTATTGTCTATTTACATGAAGAAAAGGTGCTGTACATAAGATGAAACTTGTAAAAAAGAAATATTAAAAGCAAGCGGCAGCTGTTAATGGTTGGATTCAAAGGCTCCAAAATCAATAATTTTGACCTACTTTGCATTGTTTGCTCTTGTTTTAATACTAACAGCTATGTCATGGAACAACAAGCTTGAGATTAACTTTTCACTGTCTCAGTAGAGACTCATCTGACTCATTTGTAAACTATTGCAGCTATTGTTGTTTGAGAATCTGAGGTACAATTTCTGTCTAAGACAGGCATATTTCATCACCAGAGTCTATTTGTTTCAAGCAGTTTTAAAATCTGCTGTAGTATCTGGGGTGAATGTTTCCTGAGGGCAAAACCCGAAAAAACTGGCTTGCTGGCATGCTCAGTGATAAGGGCTCCAATCTGTTTAGCATAAACATGCCAGATTTCCTGCAATGTAATAACATGTTCATGGATAAAAACAAACTTAAATAAATGAATGAAGTAATATTAAACTTCTGTCAGCTACAGTCCATCCTCTCAAAAAACCCATTGTAATTATGTAAAAGTTCCTCTCACTGACAACATTTAGATGGAATCTTGCACCTCAAAAGACTCCACTTGTTAGACCATTGCATTTATTAGCCTTTTAGTTTAATAGACATTAAAATGTTGACTTCTGCAGAATATTATCTTGTTCCCTTTTTTCCTCCAGGATCAACAATTTATAAGGCCTGGTCTGGAAAATAGACATACTCACAAAGAAACCTGCAAAGATTATGAAGTCTTAAACATTTCTTTATATGATAGCTCAGTGAATTTGGTATTGATTACCAGTAAATTTACTGTCCTGCAGTTGATGATTTCCAAAATTCTCTCATTTATTTACATTGCAATGAGTTCATATCCCAAGGACAAGTTGCATTTTGATCACCTCTGAGATTGAATGTCTATGCCTCTCTTTTGAATGAGCCATCTGTCAGAGGATTCTTATTATTTTACAATAACCTGCAGAGGTATTCAATGCACGGATAACTTTGTAAAGAAATTTAATATATGCAAATTAAGAGACTGAAAGTTTTGAGGTCTCAGTGACAAAGGATTATGAGAAATCCATGGGAAACCTGCAGCCACTTTACATCCAAAGAAGCCCATCAGACCATTTGAAATGATTGAAAAACACCAGCAAATAAGCCTGCACATATGCTTGTATTACCATGAGCGACCAAGACAGAATTTCTCCCTTCATTTTCAATGCAAAATCAAGCAGACAAGTGATGAGAATAAAGGAAAATGTTAATTAGGGAATTACCAGTATTAGTAGACCCAAAAGCAAATTCTCCAAACTAACATGGTAAGAATTTATGGCAGACAGTAAGGAGAATTACACGGGTGATCTTGGGAGTGAAAGGGTTATGAATAAATTCTGTAACAATACATTACAGCTGACAATCATGTGGAGTTCAAAATTACTTTTATACAAGAGATTGCATTAATTCTACTTAACGCTCATAAATCCTGGTGTAAATCATCCCTTGATCATGCAATCAATTATAAGAAACGGATAATGAAGAAAACTAACAGAAAATAAAGGCACCAACTCACCAGCGTTCCAATGTTCTCAATCAATGAAACGATCACAAAGTTTCTGTCCTGATAAGCTGAACAAAACACGGAAAGAGTTCCATATAACCCCTAACCCCATACATTAATTATGCACTCATTTCATAAAGACTAAAATAAAGGTTTCTTTGCAACACTCTATGCATAATTAATGTATGGGGTTATATGGAACTCTTGCCCAAAACACCTCTGTGTGGATTCCTTCGATGACGGCCGAAGTCTAGAAAGCAAGATAATTATCAAAACCTTCGCTGCAGAACTTGTGATTTACAATAAAGATTTCCATATAACCCCATACATCAATTATGCATAGAGTGTTGCAAAGAAACCTTTATATTTAGTCTTGATGAAATGGAATACATAATTAATGTATATGGTTATATGGAAATCTTTCCGATTATTTTTTTACCTGTCGGGTTTTCACAATCTGGGCGGCCATTTTGAAATCAGTGAAAGGCTGGGAAATATGCATCCTCGGAGACCCAGGGGCAGTGAGTCGATTTCAAGTTAAGGGCAGAAGAGCCCCTGGGGACATTGTCTTACAAGACTAGTTCCAAACGGTCGCAGTCGTTCTGGCATCTGATTGGTGCCAGAAAATCTTTG